TATGTGCAACCTGTGGTATTTATCTAGTTTATCTGTTAATGACAAGGAAATCTTTTTTTTTTTTTTTGGTACCAGGGATCGAACTCAGGACCTTGTGCTTGCGCAGTAGACAAGGAAATCTTTAATGCTGTTCCAAATTCAGAAGTAAATGAGGGTCAACATTTTTATACAGATTCAGTTAGCTACAAATTTGTTTTTTGTTTTTTGGGGAGTTGTTTTTTGAGACAAGGTCTTGCTATGTAGTCCAGGCTGGCTCTGAACTCACTCTGTAGCCCAGGCTGGCTTCAAACTTGTGGCAGTCCTCCTGCCTCAGCTTCCCAAGTGCTGGGATTATAGGCATATGCCACCATGCCCAGCTTTCAAATATGTTTTTAAAACTCAATTATTTTTATATTTAACCCATTCATTCCACACCTTATTAACATACCAAATACCATTCTAGGCTCTCAGGCTATAGCAGTGAACAAAAAGGACTAAGTCCTTGTCCCTAGGTTGAGAATCTTATTAGGCAAACAAAAGATTGCAGGGCTAGCAAGGTAAGATTTAAGAGAGTCGGAGGGTGCCTCTTTATAGAGTGAACAGAAAGTCTTTAATGAAATAGCCTTGAGCAGAAACCTGAATAAAATAAGAGAAGGAGCCTACTTGGTATGTGGGGAGTACGATTTTAAGTAGAAGTGATAGCAAATCCAAAGGCCCTGTGGCAGGAGCATACCTCAGTGGGACTGAAGAGGGATGACCAAAAAGGAGAGTAGTAAAACAAGGGCAAGATTTTGGCTTTCGCTCAGAGTGATGTAGGAAACTGCTAGAAGTTAGTTTGATCCCCTGGTCTGAAGGTTTGTTTTAGTAGTGACCTGATCTGACTAACCTTTCTTTTTTTCTGGGAAAGTCAAGCAAATATGTAAAGATGTCAACTTAGAGGCGATTTTGATCATCTCAGTGGGAAGGGATGGCAGCTAGGATCGATGGAGGTGGTGAAAAGGGACTTCAGGATACACATGGCAGGGAGCAGGATATACTTTGCAGGGAGACCCACAAAGGTTCGGGAAGGTGTTGGGGACCAAGAGTTCCCTCCAATTCGTACCGGCTGTGTTGCCTTTAGATCTCCACGCAGAGACATTGCCCAGGTCTGAGGAATTGTTTCCTGGCCTGCAAGTCGGCGAGGAGGACTGGATGGAGCTGTGCCACAGCACAGCTGGCGTCGGGGAGCCGGCCCTGGCCGGAGAGGGTTGCTTTGGCAGTTAGGCAGAACCTCAGACATGCTGGTGGGCACGGGTGTGGGGCTTTTCTGACTGTGTCTGTTTCTCAGTGCCATCAGGGCCAGCTCAGCCAGCAGCTGCATGAGGAAAGAGTGGGCATGGGCCTTGAGGTATCAAGGTTGTGCAGCGCTGGAGAGACCCCAGAACTGGAGCTGGGTGAAGAGTCACAGGGCATGGGGGTTATGAAGAGCCAGGCAGAGGCAGCTCCCAGGCTGCCTGCCCCGTGGGATGCGGGTTGCAGGGTTGCCGGAGTCTGCAGGGAGAGAGCTGCAAAGTTGGGAGGTGATGGCTGGAGAGCAGGATGCTTAGGGTAGAGACAGGAAAGTGGTGCAGATACTGGTGACGAGTCAAGGCTTGACCTGGGCATGGCTGTGGTCTGGGGCAGAACAAAGCCAGTGGAGCAGAATCGCAGAAACTGTGAGGCCAAAGAGATGGAAGGGTCCTTAGAATCAGTAATGAAATGAGCATGGGACAGGGATACCAGGTGGAGGGCGTGAGCCTGGTTGGTTGCTAAGCTCTTCAAGCACCTGTGCTATAGAAGATCGAAGAGGGACACGGTCAGCTGTAGGAGCCACAGAGGCACTGAGGGGAGGTTGAGTAGCCAGTGACCAAGGTTAAAACAAGTAGCATCCCAGCTAGACTCCATGGGGAGCACAGGGGAGGTGGGGGGAGAGGGTGCCTGAGCCCTGTGAGGCCAGCAAAGCACCTGTCATTACATTGAGGCTAAGATAGGGGAGGGAATGTTAGGGTTCAGGTTCATCAGGACAAGAAAGTAAAATCGTAGTTGCCAAGGGTTGAGGCGTGGGGAGAAAATGGGAAGTCAGTGTTTAGTGGGCATGGGGTTTCAGCTTGGGATGATGAAAAGCTCTGGAGCTGTCCAGTGGTGGTGGCTACAGAGCAGTAGGGATATGATTAATGCCGCTCGGGTGTGCACTTCAGATGGTTTTGTCTGTAGAGCACCCGAGCTCATCCAGCCTCTGAAGCTAAGCAAGGTCGGGCCCAGGTGCTATAGGCTTTAAAAGTAAATAAGTAAAGAAGAAGTTTTCGATTTTATGTAACATTTTACCCACCTTTTGGTTCTTTACGACAGGGTCTCACTACATAGTCCATGGTGGCCTCAAACTTGGAATCCTCCTGCCTCCACCTCCCCAGTACTGGAATGACAGGCACACAGCTCTACGGCTCACTTTGGTGTTTTACCATATTTTTTAAAAAGCCAAAGAAATAGTCCAAAGAGAATGAGGAAGTTAAGTGGGGCTGTTGGACTTGAGTCTCGGCAGAGGTGGAGGCTGGCCTTTGTGGGGAGGGAGGGAGGAGGGCAGAGCTGTGGAACCAGGGCCTGGCTTTGTGGACTCCATGTCCCCCGAACATTATGGGAGCCGGGCTCCGAGTCTTCTTCCCTGGGACCCAAGGAACAAGAGGGTTCTCTGTCACTGCATCTCTGTTGCCCTAGAATCTGGCACCACTCCTGGTGTACATGAGATGCGAGCATACATTTGAATGGGTATAATAATGAATTCTATCCAGAGAAAGAAAGCACCAAATGAGAATTTAATGGCCTCGTTGAAAATTTAAATAAATTCTCCCCAAAAATGATGAAGAATGAAAAGAAACTAGAGGTGGTCTCTGGTGGAGAATGAATTTTTAGCAAAGGTGCCAAAGAACCTATTATGAAATTGAAGTTTTAGACTGGAAAAAATAAAATCATGAACAGAAGGCTACAGATGTGTAGAATTACTTGAATTGAAATATGTTCCCTCTTTATATAGTTGATTGCATGGAGAGTTTGTGATTTAGAGGTTCATTGTCTTGTGGTAAATATAATTATTAAATTTTTAAAAATTTTTTTTTCAAAATGAACTTTTATTTCCTTAAAAAAATTACAGTAAGCCGGGGATTTAGCTCACTGGTTCCGCTGCTTGCCTCTCAAGCGCAAGGACCTGAGTTCAATCCCAGGTAAAAAAAAGAAAAAAAAATTACAGTAAGCTTATCCAACTTGTGAGCAATCAATTTATGGCCTGTTCCCACTCTGGTTATAAAACTAGAACATTCTCAGACTGGGGATTTGGCTCAGTGGTTTCACTGCCTGCTGCGCAAGCGGAAGGACCCGAGTTCGATCCCCGGTACCAAAAAAAAAAAAAAAAAACCTAGAACATTCTCTACTCTGTCATAAAGAAGGATAAGCTTAGGGCCGGGGATTTAGCTCAGTGGTTTCTTTGCCTGCTGCAGAAGCACAAGGACCCAAGTTTGATCCCCTGTACCAAAAAAAAAAAAGGATAAGCTTGAGACATTTCTAGCTAAATGTATGCACCTTGAGACCATACTCTTAAGTGAAATAAATCGTACACATGTATTTAATAAAATAAAACCAGTACATTCTGAACATTGGTCACATCATTTTCAGCAGTCAAAGAGAGTACGCACTCCTCCCACCTCACTTGAGTAACCCGAATCATTTCACTTTTTAAAAAAATATTTTCACATGAATGTAATATAATAGGCCTCAGCCTTACTCCTGAAGATTCTGTTTCATTACAACTGCATGAAATCCACCTTCCTGTATCGGAACTGCCAAAACTAATTCTAACATCACAAGCTGGGAACCACACATCCATTAGGTTTACACTTCCTCTACTTAGAGGCTAACTGGCTTCATGAAAAATTCCTTTGACAAATTCTGTTTCCTGGACTGGGGATTTAGTTCAGTGGCACTGCACCTGCCTTGCAAGCACAAGGTCCCGAGTTCAATCCCCAGTACTTTAGGACAGAGGCCAAGCTACTCATGTGTTCATTGAGGGCACCCTCAGACTCCTTATAGGTCAAGCAAGGGAACTGGCACTCCTCTGGATCAAAGGCATCAGCCCCTTGCTGCTCCACATCACTGGCTACTCCCACGTAATAGCCCTCTATGTCCCCAGGGTCCTCATCCTCTTTCTCTTCCTCACAATTTGTGTCATAGTCCTCTTCATTGCTGTCAGGCCCCTGGCTATTCATGTCCACTGACATCTTTGCATCCAGTCAAGTTGCAAATCAGGAAAGCAGTTCTTTTTCTCCCCTCAAACTTCACCGCTTTCTCAAATGCATTAGTGTTTTTGTATTCAGTAATTTTTATTTGGGGGGGGGCGTTTACCAGGGATCGAACTTGGGTCCTTGCGCTTGCGAGGCAGGCGGCGGAACCACTGAGCTAAATCCCCAGCCTGTATTCAGTAATTTTCGAAGATCTTTCAGGTAGACATCACCCAAATACTCTGTCATGTGATTTCCACCGGGAACCGCGACCACCACCCCCACTCCCCTCCCGCAGAGCCCCTGCAGGCCAGAGCAGGTTAAGCCCGGCCAGTGAGGTCTGACTTGGACGCTGCGACTGCGGAGGCAGCAGGTCGATCCCGCGCCGCTTCCTTCGGCGGAGCCATCCCCACCTAGCTTTGTGAAATATTAAGATTGGACATTAATTGTAAACTAAGCTTAAAGGGCTGAAACAGTAATACCCTCTTCAGGTAATAAGTTTGTCTTTCCAAATCAAAGAGATCTCATTCATTCTATTGTTAATGCTTACATGTTTACATGTTGTGTTTTTTTCCCCCAAAAGTGGCCATGGGCTGCCTTTGAAGGTTTTCACCGGGCATCGGTTGGTTATCTGGGGACAAGTCAGAGGAGTGCAGACTGGTGGTCCTCTTGCATTGTGAACATGTTCTGCAGCTACCAGACCATTGTCATGCCCCGTTCTTCTTGTTGTCGTTTTAGTGACAGCTATATTGTGCGTGTCAAGGCTGTGGTTATGACCAGAGATGACTCCAGCGGGGGATGGTTCCCACAGGAAGGAGGCGGGATCAGTCGCGTGGGGGTCTGTAAGGTCATGCACCCCGAAGGCAATGGACGAAGCGGCTTTCTCATCCATGGTGAACGGCAGAAAGACAAACTGGTAATGGCAGACATACGACATGTGGGTTAAAATAGCAATGACTGATCTCTTTGCACAAAATGGTAGCCTTCTTCGCTTAGGGGTTTTTGTTTTGTTTTGATTTTTAGTTTTCTTTGACTTCAAACAGTTGCAAAAACTTCCAAAGTTAGAATTCTGGAGCTGGTGCCAGAATTTTATTTTATTTTATTTTTTTCTCTTTTCTTTTCCTCCAAAATTTAAAACATAACTCTCCCTTCCCAGTGAAGTCTTTGACCACACATGTAACTCAGATGCTTAGAAGCCTGGCTGTCTTGTTTGAACCTTTGATTAATCAAGATGTTTTTCTTTCTGTTATTGTAACATGGTATTCAGAACAGAAGTGTGCTCTTTATTACAGTGAATCAAATACATTGAACTGTCAAGCCAGAGTTTTAAGAATGTGGGGTTTATTCATGAAGCTTGCTATTAAGGTTTGGGGGGTGGAAGGCAAGACGCAAAGCCAGAACATCACCTGACATCTGGCACCTTCGAAGTAAATGTTTATCAAAAAGATACTGCAGCTTTTATGTCATAATTAATGAGGAAAACATGTTTAGAAAAATTAAATAGTGGTATCACACCTCGAAAGATACTTGTGCATGCATATAAATAATACTTAGGAGAGTGATCTTTGCCTCACAAGAGTAGGGGGATTGATAGTTCATAACATATCTTCTCTTGAAGGAACTTGGATGTCCCCTTGTATGAATAGAACGTCCAACTCTATTTAAAATTAATGGCCAGGGCCGGGGATTTAGCTCAGTGGTTCCTCCACCTGCCTCACAAGCTCAAGGACCCGAGTTCAATCCCTGGTACCTAAAAAATAAAAAATAAAATTAATAAAATTAATGGCCGTAGCATGGGTGATTGCTCCTATCTATACTTGATCATGAAATGTATATTTAGAAGCCAGTGGATGGATGACTTAAAATGTGCAGGAGTGTACAGATCTCACAGCAAGTTCAGCAGTATGAGAATGTGGTGGTGGTACATTGGAGACCCTTTACAGTGGCATCTGTTGAGTTTTATGTGTTAATTATGCAAAGTTAATCTGCACCTGCAACCACTTCTTAAAGTTCAAAAAACTTGCAAAATACCTAAGACAGAAGAATTTGTAAATGGTACATATGGATTAACAGAAATGCCATTTTCCTACTTGATTTGTTTCTGGAAATCCAGAGGGAGACTACAGCTAATTTTAAAAAGTATTCAGGAAATTTTCTGTGTAATAGTCAAATAATTAAAGCATTCTTTTTAATGAAATTTTTGCAGTGAAGGCAGTGTAACCATATTCTCAACATAACGCGAAATAACTGTCATTGATCTAGCCTTTGTCATGTGCTAAATACAGTGTTAGCCCATTGGTTAGGTTGTATCACTGTATGCTTATTGCACCCTGGATAATTATAATTGAAGAAGTTAGGATTCAGAATGATTCCTCTCACCATGATCCAGGCCTGTAATCCCAGCTACTCAGGAGGCCAAGGCAGGAGGATCAAAAGTTTGAGGCCACCCTGGGCAACTGAGACCCTCTCTCAAAACAAAAATAAAAAATATTTTAAAAGGCTGGTAAAATGCTTGCCTAGCATGCATGAGGTCCTAGGTTCAGTCCCAAATATTACCAAAATGAAAGGTTTCCTTGTACTTGTGACCCATTTGTGAGGCTTGGATCCAGTGTTTCCTGACCTGTCACACTGACCCCTAACCAAACCAGAATACTTCTGCTCACAGGAGGTTATGTGCCATGGGGGAGCTCTGCGAAGGGGGTTGCTGTTGAGGGAAGCCCTCTGAAAAGTAGAGTGACATGGGTGGCGGAGTTGTTCAGATCCACTGCATGACAATGTCAGACTCCCCAGCAGTCCAACTGGGGCACGGCGTCCTCTCTCTGCTAGACAACCATTGTTGTCAGTAGGTGTTCCAGGGTAGTGCAGTTCTAAAGTTCAGTGTGTTGTTGTGGTTTTTGTTGTTTATTTGTTTATTTTTAGTTACACATTGGGACTTGTGAGCTTAACTATTGTTTCTATGGGAAAACAGGTACATGTGTCATTCACATAGTTTTTGGTGAGCTGAGGACATTAAAGTTTTCATTAGAAGTTATATATAAATTAAAACTTTCTGAAGTTTGGATCTTACTTTAGATGGGTGAGAGGAGTTTATTCCTTAAACAAATCCTATAAGAAACTGCCTTATAAGAGCAATTTAAAAGCTTACAGTTTTATTTTGGCGGTACTAGGGCTCAAACTCAGGACCTTGCACCTGCAAGGCATGTGCGGTGCCACTGAGCTAAATCCCCAGCCCCTAAAAAACTTAACAGTTTTAAAAACAAAAAACTTAAGAGTTGATGATCCCAGTAGTTGCCCATGTGTGGGTCAGTAACCATTCTCATGCAAAAACTTGGTGGGAATTTGAGCTGACAAAGTTCTTTGAAAGGCAGTTTGGCAGGATTATAATTTTAATTTTTTTTTTTTTTTTTTTGAGCCAAGGTCTTACCATGTAATTCAGGCTGGCCTTGAACTCAAGGCAATCCTCTTGCCTCAGCCTTCTGAGTGCTAGGATTATAAGCCTGTGCCATCATGCCCAGCTAGAATTTTATTTTATTATTTGGCGGTGTTTTTTGAGACAAGGTCCTGCTATGTAGTCCAGACTGGCCTTGAACTCACTATATGGTCCAGGCTGGCCTCGAACTCACAGCAGTCTTTCTGCCTCAGCCTCCTGAGTTCTGGGATTATAGGTGTGCACCACTACACTCAGCTGGGACTTTTATGTGTTTGTGTGTGTGTGTGTGTGTTTGTGTGTGTGTGTTTGCTACCAGGATTTGAACTCAGGGAGTCACATTTGCCAGTCAGGCACTGTGCTGCTGAGGTACATCCCTAGCCTGGATTTTAATTTTGAACATGCATAACTTTTTACCTAGCAATTCCCATCTAGAACACTATCTTAAAAAAATAGACCTGTGCATAAAAATGTCTGGACAATAACAATTCTTAAACTTTTTTGGTCTAAGAATCCCCTTATCCTCTAAAAATTTATGGAGAACCCCAAAGAGGCTTTCTTTTGTTTTGTTGAGTTAAAGCTACTATTATTTATGAGATAAATTAAAACTGAAAAAATTTTAAGCTCTTAAGTAATATTATTGACATAAATGACATTTTTTCTGACAAATAACTATTTTGCGGAACAGAAGAAATACACAAGAGTGCCATTGCTTGACATTTTTGGAAATCTTTAGTATCTGGCTTAATAGAAAAGAACTGAATTCTAACATCTCTTGCTTTTAATATGTTGTACCATTTCATTTTGGTTGAAGTATGTGAGGATAGGTAGTTGCAAAAAGGAGAAATATTTTAATAGCCTTTTCAGATTTTTTTTTTTTTTTTTTTTTTTTTTGGTACCAGGGATCGAACTCGGGTCCTTGTGCTTGTACAGCAGGCAGTGAAACCACTGAGCTAAATCCCCGGCCCTTCAGATAATTTTAGATCTTTAATACTATATCAAAACTCCACCAGTAGCAATTTCTTAAATGAGGAATCTGGAAACATCGATTTGAACTTTTCATATTCTCTTATGTACATTAAAATCCATGAATGAATCTTTCTCTTGGGCCTGATTTTGTATTGGTCATCTGGAAAAGAATAGTTTTCTTTAAAAGTTTTTTAAAGAAAATAATGGCTTACTGAATTAAGCAGATCTGCCAAATGTTGACACAATTCACTCTACATTATAAAAAAAAATTACTTAGTACCGCCAGTGATCTTACTAGAAAAGTATTTAGGCTGGACGTGTTGGCACACACCTATAATCCTAGCACTCCAGAGGCTGAGGCAGGAGGATCACCACAAGTTTGAGGCCAAACTGAGCTACATAACAAGACCCTGTCTCCAAACATCAAAAGAAAAGGAAAAGTGTTTAAGTATTAGGAAGCTGTCCAAAACTCTGATTTTCACTTGAAAGTTCAAATTTTATTATTGGCAGCAAATCCCTGAAGTTATTTTCCTTGAAAGTGACAAGCTTATTTTGTTCATTTTTAAGAAAATGTCTGCCAAATAGTAAGGTGTTCCTTTTTTTTTTTTTTTTTTTTGGTTACTGGAGAGCAAACTCAGGACCTTGTGCTTTCGAGGCAGGCAGCGGCACCACTGAGCTAAATCCCCAGCCCTAATAATGTGTGATTAGCCATAGTTGGTCATTCTTTCAGTGAAAATATTGGTCCAAGAAACCAGAAGCCACACATGGTGACACACACTTGTCATCCCAGCGCTCTGGGAGGCTGTGATGGGAGGATTATGAGTTCAAGCCCAGCCTGCGTGATTTAGCCAAGACCCAGTCTCACAATTTTAAAAAATGGTTGGAGCTGTAGCTTAGTTCAATCCCCAGTCCTGCAGAAGAAGGGAGGGAGGGAGGGAAACAGGCAGTTCATCGTACCGCTGAAACAGTCGAACAAGTACTTTTCCTTGAGGCAGTCGACCCTCACGTGCAGCAGGAGGGAGAGGCTCTTGGGAATGGCTTCCCCTTCCCAGCCATGCATTTGTGGAAGCCAGGCTTTCTTCATGTACTTAACCAGAGCAGCTATGACGGCAGATATAGAATGTAGAACCCTATGTGAGAACCCAGTTAGGTGTATTTTCCAGTTCATTGCATAGAGAAAAGGACACATGCTCAATGGCCAAGTTACAATCAAATAATCTTTGCTTCATTAAGAACATTACTGCTTAAAACTGCCATTTCTAACTGAGACTGTGAGGATGAAAAATCGAATGCCTTTTGTGTAGATTGGCAGCACCAGCAGGAAATGTCAACACGGCGATGGTGGTAAAGGTAGTTCTCCCATCTTGGTCCTCTGAAAGGTGCTGGAGATGAGAGGAGGCTCCCAAGGGCCACAAACCAACCTCTGAGAACCGTTAATGTGTAGGGATGTAGACTGCAGTGTTGTCTAAAAAAGCGACCAATTACAAGTTATCCGAATGTCTACTAGTATAGAATATGGTTTAATAAACCCACTACATCCATACTGAGAAATAACAGCCATTGAAAAGAACCATTATATATTACCTCCCTATATTCTGAGACAGGTTTTCTTGTTTTTTGGTTTTGTGTTTTGCTGGGGATCAAATCCAGGGCCTCGTGCATGCTCAGCACATGCTGTACCACTGAACTACACTCCCAACCCCTAAGACATGTTTTTTTGGTTTTTTGTTGTTTATGTTTTGGTTTTTGGTTTTTTTCTGGTATCGGGGATCAGGTCCTTGGGGAAACCACTGAGCTAAATCCCCGGCTTTGTTGTTGTTGTTGACAGTCTCACTGTGTATTTCAGGCAGGCCTTGGACTCGCTATGTTTCCCAGGCTAGCCTCAAACTCACAGTGATCCTCCTGCCTCAGCCTCCTGAGTGCTGGGATTACAGCCGTGCACTACCGCGCCCAGCCCTAAGACATGTTTTTAAGGAAAATAAAAGGCAAGTTGCAAAACAGTTCATAGTGTGAGTGTGGCTAGTTTAAGCGCACGTACACTAAACTTCCATGTATGTTTGGCAGTGGGTAATGCAAGAAATGCAGAGGCTTTGATGGGAAGAGAGTGAAAAGCATAAGATAGGAGCCTTCCTATATTCATCTAAATTACTTAACTCTTTTCAATACATATTTGTGTTGATATTTTTAGTGCCTCCAATAAGAATATAATCACCTTTTCTTTCCCAGCATGTCATTTAAAAATACCTTTTTAAAACTTCTCTTGTATGTTAATTGTATGTATCCCAAAACTTCACAGAACGTTTTTATCTGTTACAATGATTGAAGCATCTGAACTTTTTCATTTTTGCTGTTATACTTAGGTATGTAATGACGTTAATTTGCTTAAGAGAACATAAAGAGATGGTACCTAATTTCTCTCCCTCATCTCAGTTAAGTGGCTGAGCTTACTTAAACTAATCTAAGAAGGGGCCGGGGATTTAGCTCAGTGATTCTGGTGCCTGCCTCAAAAGGGCAAGGTCCCAAGTTGGATCCCCGGTACCAAAAAAAAAAAAACTAATCTAAGAAAATACACCTTTGTAATAATAATTTTAAAGTTGGACAATGTCAACCAAAGACTAATTTTTTTTTACCCTAAAACTATGGAAAAACTGAGTCTTTGTTTTTTTGGTTTTTGGTACTGGGGATCGAACTCGGGACCTTGCAATTGTGAGGCAGGCGCCAGAACCACTGAGCTAAATCCCCGGCCCTGAGTCTTTGTTTTTGCAAAAAGTTTATTTTGAGACTTTGAATTGAGACTATTAAATTCTAAAATAGATAACATTTGTTAGTTAAAGCCTTGGTTATTTGGATTTCCCCAATTTGGAATGGGGCTGGGCTGACATTTAATCATTGTACTATTCTTAGGGGGAAATGTTCATAATAAGCAATTTAATCATAAATAGAATTTTGTAAGGGGACTGTTGTCCTCTTTGAATCCAGTGTTATAAAGTTAACTGCTTCAGACTGCTATTTAATATACCAATTTGAGTATTATTCTTATTTACTAAGTTAGAGAATATTTATTAGACAGCATTTAATTTCTTTTTGCTTTGGTATATCCTTGAAATTTGTACTCATTTAAGCACGTTCTTTAAAGTTACATTCATTCAAGCAAGCCTTTTCTCTCACCCTTCACTTAGTACAAATTAACAAGATCACACTGTTAATTGGGAAGCTTTTCCAGAACAAGATCAAGGCTACTAAAACTCAAAAAAATCATTACAGTGTTTGTAATGAAGCCATAGGAATAAATATTGTAAATAGTTTGGGTTTTTTATGAATAAAGAATTAACTTTGTATCACATGGTTGCAGTGCTTCTTTTATTCTGTAATATTATGTAAACTCAGGTGTCAAAAACATCAACAACAGGGCTGGGAATTTTAGCTCAGTGGCACCACGCCTGCCTGGCAAGCAAAAGGTCCTGGGTTCAATCTACAGTACGGGGTGGGGGGAATCAACAATAGCACTGTGCTAGACACGAGTTATTTTATAATATGTCTTAACCTTTAGTTAGGGGAACAAGATTACTGCACATGAAACTGCTAGGGTAATGTAAAATCAAGTACTGAATTGTGAAGGTAATAAGCAAAACTAGGTAAATACAAGACTTCAGCTTGTGGTAGAAACACACTGGGGAATGAGTGGGACCCTGTTGGGTTTCTCATTTATTCAGTGTTTTCAGAGCACAGTCTTCTCATTGATAAGTTTGGTGTTATTTCCATCATAGCAATAAAAAGATCAATCATTTTTAGCTTAGCAGAAAGCAGTTATGAGGCTAGTTTGTTAGAAACTTGGAGACTATTCTGATAATCCAAAGGTGAAGTTAAAGGAGTCCCAGGTCAGTGTGGTGGCAACTGAAATGGAGTTGATTTAAAAGAGGTTGGAGAACAAATGAAATGGACTCGTTATTAATCATACAAGGGGATAGAGAAAGCAGAGGAGGCAAGAGTGACCACAGAAAATTTGAGCCCGAGAAAAGGAGCAGAGAAGGGTTGGCATTGCCAGATACGGGGAAGTTGGGAAAGGAAAATAGTGGTAGAAATTTGAGAAAAAAGTTGACTTTTCACCTTGTTGAATTTAAGGTCATAGCGAGACGCCCATTAGGACAGGGCAGGGAAGACTGAGGAATACCAGTACAAAGGCCCCAATACCACACTGGCCCAAGATCATGGCCTGGGCTTAGTGCTCCACAACTCGGGCGGGAACAAGCAATGAGATGGAGAGGAGTGTGGTGAAGGACGCCACAACTGGGGTTCACAAGAGCTTGGGGGCAGGGGCAGAAAATGTGTCAGTTGCCTGAACTCGTGGTTGGCAACTAGATTTCTGTAAGCAGACACCATTGTGGCTGTTCTGCAGGTAACCAGCCTGTGTTTCAATCCTTCAGGTTGTACTGGAATGCTATGTAAGAAAGGACTTGGTCTACACCAAAGCCAATCCAACATTTCATCATTGGAAGGTCGATAATAGGAAGTTCGGACTTACTTTCCAAAGCCCTGCTGATGCGAGAGCCTTTGACAGGGGAGTGAGGAAAGCGATTGAAGACCTTATAGAAGGTATTGAATTTATCACTACACTCTTAGTGGGACTATGGGAATGCTCCAAATTATTATTTTTTGTTTTGTTTTGGTTTGGGTTTGGTACCGGGGATCGAACACAGTTTTTTGCGCTTGCACAGCAGGCAACGAAACCACTAAGCTAAATCCTCGGCCCCTCCAAATTATTTTTTAATTCCAGCAGTCTGCCAACATGAATTTGTGGTCTCTTGGGGGAGGGAGCAGGCAAGTCAGTAGATGCCCAAACCTTCAGAACACTGAGGACAGTGATTAACGCGACAGTGCAGGGAGAATGCAGTGAGGCTACACAGTAAGGAGTGATCCCGTCTGACCTTCAGACTGCTCTGAAAAGACAGGCATTTCGGGATTTCTATGTGAATAAGTTTTTGACTGGTTTCACCTTGTCCTGACAATTGGACTGGCTCTGGTCTGGACTGTCTTGGCTCAGAATTGGGAATGGATTCAGGGACTCAGATTGCCCCAAGTTTGCCCACTGTTGGGAAATCAGAGCCCAGAGTATACAAGGAAAGGATCTATTGCTCCGGGGGCCCTGGTTTGCTGTGGGCTGTGCTCTGCAGGCCAGCAGTGGGCACTGTTAACATCTGAGCTGGCCTGGAAGGGCCTTGGGGCTTTTGTCCTCACAGTGGGCTTGGCTGAACTTCACAGGTGCGAACAAATTCTCCACTTAGCACGACTATCAAAGCAGAGGGCTAATGGTCCTGTGACTAGCCGGACACAGTGGCACATGCCTGTAATCCGAGACGGAAGGCTGAGTCAAGAGGATCACCATGAGTTTGAGGCCAGCCTTGGCTACATAGTGAGTTCAAGGCCAGTCTGAACTACATAGCAAGACCCTATCTTTGAATGAATGAATAAATGAATGAATGCTATGTCTAGTGCCCTGGGAAGAAAGAAATACGAAGCTGGCATGTTAATGAATCACACGAGAATGTATGCTTCATTTGCTTAAGAAATGAAACTGTTCTAAAAGCAAAAGCAAATCTTAAAAATCATTTAACCTTTAAAATTGTAGTTAAGACAATTCTAGCTAGGACTTGAAGCCATTAATGACACCATAAGATCACCAAAAGACAAAATTAAAAACTAGTGTTCATATAACTGGCCTAACATATGTGACAAATATTTTATATATATATATATATATTTTGGTACGGGGGATCGAACTCGGGACCTTGCGCTTGCGAGGCAGGTGCCAGAACCACTGAGCTAAATCCCCAGCCATGTGACAAATATTTTAAATACCGATACTAACACAGTTTTTAAATGGTTAGAGAGAAAATTGGTCATCCTGTGTTATCTATCTATAGAAGCTTGTTTCGTGTCTGTTTACTGAATCGCTGAAGTTACATACAGGCTTTGATTTTCCAGCTTCTAGTTTTTTGTTTTTCCTTTATACACCCTTTACTTAGCTGTTTTTCTATTATATTTACCTTAAACATTGATTGGAGTGATTCAAAGAGAAGACAACAATCCTAAAAGATCACTAGGAATTGCACAAACAGTGCTGTGGAACTGCTGCTTTTCTTCCTGCAACCCCTCATTAGAAATTTAAGTACTAATTGTCCCCCTCTGAGTAACCCCTGTAATTTCAATTTTGTGATGTAGCAGAATATTTCCTAAATGCACCTTTTTAAAGACCTGACCTGGAAAAAGAAAAGACAGAGTAAATTTCTCTTTTAGTGAGTCTATTGCGTATACAAATTTAAATATTTTTCTTTTGGTTATTCATTTGGTAAATTGCGCTGATCCAGACATTACTGGATACTATCATGGAGGGAGTGGGGCAGTTACACTGATTAACCAAATGAAGGAAAAGTTATATCAGTAAGTTGAATTTTAAAGAAAAAAGTTTTATGATGCAATAAGCTGGATTTTCTGACAGGAACCTTAATTTTGATGTGGAAAAGTAAATTCACTGAGGCTCTGGCATTTTAAGAGAAAATCTCCTTGCCTGCTGTCTGCTTAGCACGAGGCTCCCAGGGTCTGGAGTCTAGAGTACAGTGTCTGAATTCACAGCTGGAGGCAAGCGTACAGGCTGTTTAGTCCAGACTTCCCATTGGTAAGTGGAAGCCCCAGCAAAGCCAAGTCCCAGTTCTGCAGTGAGACTGTGGCTGGTCTGACTTGAAGGGTCGAAGCCCAGACCTTTTCCTCCTGCACAGCTGCAGCCACCAGGTCACTACAGAGGCTAGGTGTGATGTGTGCCCCTCTGAGAGTGGGCAGGATTTCCCCTCAGCTCCCTGTGCTTTCTGCATGCTTATTCTCTAGTGCCCAGTGTGAACACATTTGAGAGATTAATCAGGAATAGCAGTGAGAAAAATTAATTTAGGGAGCATCCTCACAAGGATCAATGCAAAAATAAATAAAAAGTGCTTAATTCCCAGGTACATTGCATCTGCTTGCAAAAGCAATGTGGTTTCATTAAAATATGTTCTTTGAATGATTGGGTTCAACTTAACACGGAGACACATTTCTACCACATTTTTGTCTTTTTAGGCTCAACTACATCATCTTCCACTATCCATAATGAAGCTGAGCTTGGTGATGATGACGTTTTTACAGTAAGTTTCCTTTGTTCTCTGCTTTCCCTGTTAGGTGGTGAATAAGCAGAGAAAGGTTCTCAAGAAGGATGTGAGAGCCACATTGCAAAGTGGCTTTGGCTGTTGGTGTGTGGGTGATGCCATCAGAGATGTCCACTTTTTCCCAGTCCTTGTATGCTGGGTTTATTCACACTGCCCGGGTACCATCTGCCACACAGCACAGCAGTGTGAACTCTCCTGGATCTGTCCGCAGTTCGTGCAAAGTCTTCTCTTTGATTCAGGGTGATTCACTGCTCTGGGTTGCCTGGGATGGCCCAGTTTTAGCACCCAGAGTCCCTGGTCCTGGGAAACACCTCATCAATCCCAGGCAGACCAAGACATTTGGTCACCCTGCTTGGAGTCTTCTGCTAACACCCCGCCTGGCCTGGTGTGCAGAGGAGAAGCCAGAATTACCCTTCCTGATGAGTAATTCAACATCTGATAAGAAAGGCCTGGAGGCTGGGTTGGGGCTAGGTCTGTAAGCACTCAGGGAGGAATGAGCTTGGGTGTTTTGACAGAGTTTGAGTTAACAGGAAGTAACTGGAGACAAAAAGATTTCTCCACTTCTTTTAAATCTTGTGCCTCTAGTAGTTAATTAAGAAACCAGTTCCTTGCCTGCTTATTGTGTGCTTGGAGGAGCAAATGGCTGTCAGGCAGCATTTTCAAACCAAGGGCTTTGACTCATATTAAGAAGTGCATTGTTGTGATCTATTTTTGTGACACATAATCAATAGACACCTAAAAGAAAATCATATTTTGAGAAATTCTGTGTGCTGGTTTCTTTTTTTTTTTTGGTACCGGCCTTGTATGCTGATTTCTTGGGGTTTTTTATTATGAAACTTTTCAAACACAAAAAAATTAACGTACTGAAACCTATGTATGTATTCCTAGATTCAGCAGTTGTAACGTTCTGACACATTTGCCTAATTCGTCCCAATACATATAATTATACACATACATCCAACACCCCCTGTACACATAGAAACATTTTTTTCTGATCCATTTGAAACCAAATTTTCCCCTAATTCTTCATCATGTGTTTCCTTAAAAAGAAAGCATTTGCAGAAGAATTTTAGGGTAGTGAAACTGCTCTGTAATGGTACTACAATGGTAAATCCTAGTCATTTTATATTTGTACAAACCTAGAGACTATGCAACTCCAAGAATGAACCGTAATGTACACTGTGGACTTGAGCTCATAATGAGGTGTCAGGGAAGTTCATTGGTTGTGACAACTGTATACTCTAGTGGCAGATGCTTACTGAGGAAGAAAGGAATATATGGGGAATCTCTGTACCTTCCACTTCCGATTTTGCTGTGAATCCAAAACTGTTTCAAAAAATAAAGTCCGATAAAGGGAACTTTTTAAAAAAGTCATTGCCTTGTAGAACCTTTCTGTCTCGAAGAAAATTAATAAGAATTCCATGTTATCGAATATCTAGTTTAGAGTTACCCAGTTATCCCAAGACTGTCTTTTGTAAGCTAGCTTTTGTTTCATTTAGTATTTTAAAATACTGAGTGCTTCCCATTAAATTTGTTTCCCAGTTCACTCATCATCTGCAGCTAAAGATATGAAACACAGGGCTGGAGATTTAGCTCAGTGGTTCAGCTGTCTGCCTTGCAAGCGCAAGGACTGGAGTTCAATCCCTAGTACCAATAAAACAAAAATAAACAAACAAAAAGATATGAAACATGCCACTTTGGGAATAGAAAGGTGTGCGAACCATGGCTCCAACCTTGTAGGCGGCAATAGGATGGTTTGCAGTGAGCTGGACTCATGAGGGGCCTACACACTGCAGCCTGTGAGAAGTTACCTGGTCTAGAGATGAGGGAAGGAAGTCTAGGAGGTGAGGCTGGCTGGAGCTCAGTGGCATTTGAACTGGGTTCTGGGTAGGGCTATGAGATTAGGGAGCCTCGGGATGGCAGAGGAAGCAGGGGTGTGAGTGGTAAGTTGGCTGAATGCTGCCCATCCAAACCAACACAAGCAGAGCGTGTGTAGGGGCTGCCAGGTATGGACCAGACTGGCCTGCCCTGGAGCCCTGGTGCGGTGTGGGTCTGAACAGGCTTCCTCTGGTGCTCCAAGCAGATCCTCTCAACAGTTGGCATGTTGCTCACATCTGTTCTTTTGTCACATTTCGGGAGACAAACAACAGCAGGAGGGTTAAAAGGTGGCTTCCTGTGCTCCAGAACAAAACTGTCATTCGCAGCTGCTTCCCCGCTACCTGCCAGAAATGATTTATAGAATCAGGAGAGGGTGAGAGGAAAAGGGATGATGGAGTCCAGAATCTCTCCAAGTTTTATCCTTTAGGGTAAGGCAGAATGCCTGGAAGAAAGTTTAGAAACAGCCCTGTTGCTTCCAGATGCTTGGAACCTCGCTGGAGGAAGAGCTCCACTTGCTAAATTGCATTCTGCTTAGGTCTGGATATGCTTGGTCAGTTGCCCTCAGGTCCATTTGTTTACAAACAAGAACCTATTAATAGTGGTACCTCCCTTCCCCAGGAAGAGCCCTGTCTTTAGACTGTTGACTGTCAGGAATACACCCCATGAAAAATGGGGTGGGGAGTCACCTGCCAGATTCCCATTTGTTCGTGAGCTCCTTGCTGTTAAGCTTTCTTTCCCAGGATTGTAAATAAGTCTGAAACTCAGAGCCAAGAAGTGAGCGATCACTTTATCTCCTGTGTAGCCTATAGCTTCCCCAGTTTTGTTGTTCTGAAACTTATTAAGGGAAGACAGATACTTAAGAGTTAGGAACTCATTTATCAAAGAAGGGCTGTAAATAGTCCTCCTGCAACTTAAGATGGACCAGAGTTACCATCATTTTCTAAGAGAACAGCATGCATATGGGAAAACTTTTAGAGTTGTAACTCGAGAAACCAAGGGTGTATCTTTTCCATTTCTGCCACCAGAGCCAAAAGTTTCTCTGTTTTAGGAGATTCTGTGGAGCTAGGGGGAAAACAGGATATTATGGATAACATGGGCCCATGAGAGCATACGCATTCCTTAGTGCGAGACATCAGGAAGTGCTGTGGTTTGGAGTTGTTTGAGTGTGTGTCTCCAAGGGTTCATGTGTCGGAAGCTGGTCCCCACTGTGGCAGTGTTGAGATGGTCAAACCTTGAGGCAGAACCTGGTGACCTGAGGGTGTAGGTCATGGGGACCTTGTGCTAGGAAGAGATTAACATCGTTCTCATGTGACCCTTAGTTTGCAAGGCAGAGTTGTTTCCATGGCCTTCCCTTTTCACCACGTACTTGCCTACTTTTGCATATCCCCCACCATTGTAATGCCATCACAGCGGGGCCTTCACCAGAGCCAAGCTAATGCCAGTCCCATGCCCTTGAGCATGCAGAGCTATGAACTAAATAAATCTCTTTTCTATATAAAGTACCAAGCCTGGAGTATTTCATCTTAATAATGAAAAACACTGCTAGAGGGACTAAGCCTAGTGGAATTGTGGATTTGGGATCTCACAGTATGTGCTGTCCGTGCCCACACCTCCCCAGCCCAGCTCCTCCTGATTTCTCAGGATGAGAAAGCAGGTTGCATTCTCAGAGGAAAATGCCAGCCCGTGCATGTTGTTACCAGTTGCCAACTCTTTCTCTTGGCAAGCCTCTAGGCCTGTCCACTTCATTGCATTGCCCAGCCTGGAGCCAGATTGTTTCCTACCAGAACTGCCACCAGAAATTGCTGACCAGTGACTACTCTGTCTGAGTTCAGGGCTATTTATCCTACTTCTTTCTTGTTTTGTTTTGTTTTGTTGGTACCGGGGATCGAACTCTGGACCTTTTGCTTGCGAGGCAGGCACCAAAACCGCTGAGCTAAATTCCCGGCCCCTACTTGTTTCTTAATATTTCTCCCTCACCCAATTATAATTGTTCTTTGTCCTTTAAAATCTGATAGCACTTTGCCTTTTATTTCCCTCTTGTCATTTGAAAGCCTGCCTTTTTCTCTTCATATATTTTTTCCCTTAAATTCTTTTTTTTGGTACATTTAAGGTATACAATACATTTACATTTATCATTGGGTGCTTGCACCTATACATGATGTATCTTGGTTCTTATTTTTTCCCCATTACCTGTGCGCCCTTCACCCCTCCACCCTTCCCTATTTACATAGACATTGTTTCCATTTTTTTCTTTTCTCATAATTTTTCCTCTCCATTCTTTCCTTTCCCCTTCCCCTCCCACCACCCCTACCCCTTTGAACCTTTTCTTCCCATTTCAAATTATCAGTTGTTCATTTTAATCATTTTAATCCTTATTTACACTTTCAGTGTCTCACACTAGATAGAGAAACTATTTGGTATTTACACATGTGTGTCCTATTTATTTCACTTAAGAGTATGGCCT